TATATATATATATATATATATATATATGTGTGTGTGTGTGTGTGTGTGTGTGTATATATATGTGTGTGTATGTTTATATAAATGTATATAATTGGACTTGTGGTACATTTTCCTAACGATAAAAACGAGGTTTATTGCACATGCAGTTCCAACTAATGCACAAAAGAGGGCGCTGTTCTCCATGAAATGGTTTATCATCCACCTTTTAACGGTTTTAAATGTTATCTTGACCCTCGCAAGGTTAGATTTAGTGTATTATGTCGAATAATTTTAGGAAATGGCATATAATATCAATCTGATGGATGTAAGGTACCAATACTTGCCATTATAAGAACAAAATGTACATTGTAGTGTTTATAATTTTACATTTTCAACAGAAATATCTATGATTTTAAAGATTTTATTTTGATGACGATGTTTAAGGCCTGGAAATCACAATTTGAATTTTCCCTGATACATCCAGGTTTCCCTTGACTGAAATTTTAACAAAAAAAAATCTAAAGAATGAAAGAACACGACAGTATGTGGAAACAAATGTTTATTTCCTTAAAATATCAGTATGAACTAATGTGACAGCAGTACACCCTACACATACATTCTATTTAACGTCTTTATTTACACTTTTTCCTTTTTATAAAAGTATACAAACTAACATAGAAAGACCTCTCAGTCTGAGGATATAAGACCGGAGAGGGGGAAAAAAGACCCTGACCCCACAAACATGACTACTCATGTCTTTTAAATCTTCAGATTTAAAAGACCAGAGAATATACTAACATGCATCCATCTTTGATCTCTACTCTAAAACCTGTCAATCAGTCCGTGAGATGTCACTTCCTGTGCAGTATGGTGGTAATATAGAGGGGTCGTGAGTCAGATATAATACAGTTTTCATGTAGCAACAGATTAGAAACACCAGCTCAATAAAACATGGGGCTTGTACATAAACACAGAAATGGACATCACATACACTCGAGAGTCTCAGACATGCGTTAACTGCATATAAAACAGCCACGTGTTCCCATCAAACAACCACACACTAATTAAAAGGCTTTGGTTCATCAAACCAGTTTTAAAGCTATGGGGTGGATTAGCTCTATCGTAATGGATGACCCAGACCACAACTGCTGAAAGTACGCAAGAACCTACAAAATCACATGGCCGCAAACCAGACAGAATGTGATCCGGCTTTCTCAAAAAGAGACTATGCTGCATATGTGAGTCCGGACAGCAAGGTGGGATACAATACCTTAATTCTTCAGTTTTACATCACACAGACACGTGCATACACAAAAAGTCAAGGCACATTCAAAACACAGAATACGACATGCACACTGCCTCTTGTGTGATTCGCTGCCCTGCGGTTTCTACTGAAGCCGAGTTGATGCATCAGAACGGGAAATATCAAACACAGTGTTTCAATGTGATCGGGCAAAAACAAAGTCCTCTCTGTTAATTAAATGAGCAGTTCCACAGTAATTCAATGAGTTTAGCTAAAACAGAGAAAGAGGCCTTTCTGGGCTAGATGAAACTACAGGCAGAGTGTTACACAAACATAATTATAACTCTGTCAATAGTTGTTTGAAGGCGCATCAAAAGCACTTGAACATATGAGAAATGCCATAAATATATGAATGTCATTGCATTAAATATCAGAATATCAAACTAAGAGGCACTTTAGAACAAAGTAAATGGTAAAGCACAATATATTTTACAAAAACATTTGTTGATAGGTATATTGTTAGGTTAAAAAAAAAAGTAGGGCTGTCGTTTGATTAAGAATTAATCAAAATGAATTTGATCATGATTTTTCAATGAATTGAGGTAGATACAAGTAATTGTTTCTACCTTCCAAAATTTTCGGGTCCGTGCATTTTATTTATTTATTTTTTGAAAGAAATTAATACTTAAATTCAACAAAGATGCTTTAAATTGAAAAAGTCACAGTAAAGAAATGTATAATGTTACAAAAGATATCATTTCAAATGCTGTTTCTATTCCTTATCCTTCTATTCCAAAATTGTAACAATATTAAGCAGCATAACTGTTTTCACCATTGATAGTTGAGAGAAATGTTTCTTGAACACCAATCAGCATATGTCACTGATTTCTGAAGGATCATGTGACACTGAAGACTGGAGTAATGGCTGCTGGAAATTAAGCTTTGCCATTGCGGAAATAAATTACATTTTAAAATATATTTAAAAAGAAATCACTGATTATATTAAATATATTAACATATTAAAATATTTTTTAATATGCATATTTTAACATATATTTACAAATTACTTTAATTCGTTATAATAATAATAATTCACAATATTACTATTTTTACTGTATTTCTAATCAAATAAAACGCCTTGGTGAGCATAAGAAAAAGCCCCAAAATGCTTTAAATCAGTTTAAAACTGAAAATATTTGTGCATTAATTTGCAATCATTTTTAGATAACTATTAAAAATAACTAACATTAATCAACAATTATTATACGTTAATAATTATTCATCAATCATTAATCACATAATTTCCAAATTAACATGAAACTGTCAGCCATATTTTCAAAAACTGCCATGGAAAGTGAAGTTAGTTCTGTGAAAATCTCTACCATCATTTTTCTGCAGATGCCACCAGCTTTGATATTTCATTCTCTAATACAATAACATTCAGACATTTTAAAACTGTTGTTTTCAGTGTTCAAACACTTCTTGTGGCCACTGTATTTTTAAGTCATGGTTCTAGTTAGGGATCACAGTGCATTTTGGGAGCCTGATAAAACAGGTGTGGAGTGATAATGTCATTACTATTACACACCTCAACAACACACATACACACACACACACAGTGGTCATGGGTAGATATGCTGCTTACTAATCTCTATCCCAGCAGCAGATCAATAACACACGTTTGTCCTGGATGAATCAATGCGCTAAAGCATCTAACACACTCTCTCACACTAACTGGGGAGTACAAAGGAGCCAAAATGTATTGAATGTATGAAAAGGCACAAGGTATTGCTAATTATATAAAAACATGCGTGAATTACCACTGCCACTGATCTTGACTCGCAGAGAAAGACGTTAAAAAGACAACACGCGATTTATGAGGTCTTTCTCTGCACGCCACTACAGCTTTACAGCCACTTACACAATGATCTGTTAAAAATAGATTTTATTTTTGAACAAGTGTTTGATTTGTTGCAACAACCGTGTAAAAACAATGCTTAAAATTAACAGTTTAAAGAAACGAGACAGAGTAAAAGCTCAAGTTATACCACACTCACACACACTCGAACGTCCTCAAATAAGTGCTTTCTTGAGAGATGAAATCAGGTATTTGGATTCATAAGACTGTATAAGTACCTTTCTTCACTGGCATTCAAATAGTGCATATGAAAATCAGTATTTAACTGCATTTGTGATTTTCTGTGGAAGAAAATGTATAAGGTGGGGGGATTCAAGGGGCCATGACTCTTGAAGTCACCAAAAGAGTCAAAGATTCAAAACATGAGAATCAATTTAGAGAGTCAGAATGAAAGATTCAGATAATCATGACAGTCTGATAGCAGCAGGAATGGTTCCCCCTCCCCAGTGGGGCGAGGATAAGGGGTTGTGTCGCATAGGACATGCAAAGTTGGCATTGTTACCAGCCAATAAGGTTGGCTTTGGCCTTCTCGGTGAGCTTGCGGACTCTCCCTTTGCTTGACGTGCCGAAAGTAATCGAGGCATCCTCAAACAAAAGCTGTCTTTGCTCTTCCTCAGAGTCTTCTTCGTTATAAAAAGCTGTCCTTCGGCCTTGGTTACGCGTTCTCATCTGCCCTTTCGAGCTACCATCCTCTCCCATATAAATGTCAGGCTCCTCCCTTTGGGCGGGGCCTGGCGTAGGGGGTGTGGTTTCTTCGTTGCCACGCCGACTGCTCCTTCTGAGAGCTTTGGGGCTTGAAGGAGCTGGGGTATCCGGTGTCCTGATGACTCGTGGTCTACCTTGTGGTTTGGGACACTCTGGAGTCACTATCCCTGAATCTGAAAGACTACTGTCCAGGGCTGTAGAAGAAGCCCCACCCTCATCACCAGTAGACAGAAGAAGCTCCTCCTCATGGGATGAGCTTCTTCGTAGGGACTCCAGCTCTTTCTTGCTTTTCCTCCCTCTCTTTTTTCCAGAGGCCTGGGGCAGTGGGGGTGGCGGTACCGCTACTGGCGTTCGTATTTGTGCGTCTAATCTGGGTCGGCCCCGGCCTCTTCGTACCACTCCCAGAGTCACTTGACTATGACCATTCAAATGCAAACTGTTTTGAGGAGAAGAGTCGTGATCGACTGAACATAAGAGAGAATGAGAATATAAGTACAGATGAAACATTCACATATATGCATTCAACAGATGCTTCTTTTTTTTTTCAAAGTGGCTAATAATGCATTACAATTTTTTTTTAATCAGCATGTGTGTTCCCTGGTAATCAAACCCATGGTGACCCATGGAAAGATCCACAGATTTATATAGACTTCACATAGCTGTAATTCAACACGTCACATCAATTGTAGTAAATTTATTTCTGACTAATTTTATTATGCTTTTAGCCATGATTAAGTGTGTAATACTCTAATAGCATTTTATCACATCTAAATCTGCAAAATTCTAAAGATTATCCCTTAAATAATTATAATTAGAAAAAAAGGTTAAATCATTTCAGAACGTTTAAATCTATTCTCAGTTCAGTTTAAAATGTTTTACCACATTTAAATCTAGAAAAATCTACAGATTGTCCCCAACATCAGTGCAGAAAAAATATAGATATAATAAAAAAAGTAGAAATCAAAACACACACACACAAAAAAGTTTAAAACATTACAAACGTTTAAATCTGCAAAAGTAAATTTCAGGGGGAGAAAATTATGCAGGAGTACTTTGAGTTCAGTTTAACACATGACCATTAACCATAACCATTCAATGATTTTCCACCAAATCAATGCAGAAAATGAAAAAAAAAAACAATTCAGAAAAAAAATTATTTACAGGAGCAATCTCAGCAATTTTAACAATATTTACTGTTTAAATCAGCAAAAATACACAGATTTTCCACAAAACCAGTGTAAAAGGAAGTTTTAAATCCATTTAGGAAAAAGTTTTAATGAGCAGGAAAAAAGGTGATTACTTTGAGCCTACAGGAACTACACTGTGTGTGCACTGAAGGTTTCCAGGAAACATTCAAAAATCCTCTTTCCCGTAATAACATCAGCTTTTCACAACAAATACTTATCATCTATTACTGACCTGGTGTGAGTTTTACAGGTGTCCGAAGTTTCCTGCGAGACTCTCTGGACCCGCCTTCATTTGTGTGGGGAACTGCAGAGCTCTCAGTTTCCCTGGAGGCGCCAATGGAGTGAGAGTTCTGTGTGCGCAGGACTCTAGAAGAGGGCTCTGCTGTCTTACTGTGGCTGGGTGGAGGGGGAGGAGCTGACTGTGTAGAAGGTGCATCTGTGAGTTGGGTTCCAAAGCGGGCCGAGCTTCGTGTCCGACCGGGGACAACCGGAGGCTCAGCCTTGCCGTTGATCTGTCGATGTGTTTGCCGTAAAGAAGCAGCCCGGGAAGGTCCAGCGGGAGTGGGCGGAGCTGCATTGTCCGATCGAGGAGGAGCGCGAGACGAAACCCGACGCTTCCTTTCTGGACTACAAATCAGAAAAGAAGAAAATGTGTAGGCAACATTTAGAACCAGTGACCAATTCTAGAACATAATGTTCTGCAATGACCAATCAGATACGGTTTGTACCTAGAGGCGGAGCTTGAAGGTGAAGAGCTCCTCCTCCTCTTCACAGACTGTCTGGTCAAGCGCTCGGTGTGCTGCCGCTGACGGGTGAATCGCTCACTGTGCAGACTTTGAGCAGCTTTAAAATGGGTCAGGATTGAACTGATATGCTCTTCAAACAGAGCAGACAATCGCAGACTCATGCTGTAGATCTGCATACACAAAAACACACATGTATTAAATAAACTAGATGAACTGGTTCGGCTACAGCATTACAACATGTCTGTTTTTAAAATGAAAAGGTAATAATTGGACATGATCTCATACCCTGGACTTTTTACTGGGTGTATAGGCTTTGGAGTTGCTGAAGATGAGACGTATATCTTTACAAAGATCCACGGGAGTGTCGTACTCTCCTTCTAACAGGCGGTTCAAGACAGTCCCAAAGTCCATAGGAGTGTCCACAATGTCCAAGTAGTCCTGAGAGAGGTATTTTTGATGAACAGGGCATATAAGTAGACAGTGCACTGCAAAAAATTATTTTCTTAATCAGTAATTTTGTTTTGTTTTCCAGTACAAATACCCAAACATCCTTTAAACAAGATTTACACTACCGGTAAAAAGGTTGGGGTCTCTTATGCTTACCAAAGTAATTTGATAAAAAAAAGTAATATTGTGATTTTTTTTTTAACAATTTAAAATAACTGCTTTAATTTTTTTATATTTTACAATTTAATTGATTCCTGTGATGACAAAGTTGGCATTTCAGCAGACATTACTCCAGTCATCAGTATCACATGATCCTTTGGAAATCATTCTAATATGCTGATTTGGTGCTTAAGAAAAAAATCTTATTATTATCAAGGCTAAAAAATGACTTTACTGTCACTTTTAATGAATTTAAAGCATGCTTGCTGAATCTTACTGACCCCAAACCTTTAAATGGTAGTTTATATAAAATTATCACAAAAAGATAAGATAAGAAGAGAATATAACGTAAGTTTATTTTTCCTACCCATTTGACAAATTGTTGTTTTTCTGGTTTGTGATTTTGTGACAATCATCTAGTTACTTATTTATCTTGATTCAAGCATGTATAGGTATTTTTACTGGAAAATAAGACAAAACATAATTAAAAAAAAGATTTCTGCAGTGTGTGTATGTGTGTGTG